ACCCTATTCTCAAAACCTACTCTAAATGCCTTTTTTTTTTTGGAAAGAAAGGAATAAGTTGCTTTCGCCCCAATTAAGGAAATACCTTCAAATTTTGGTAATTTTAAAATAACTTCAAAATTCAATCTGCTGATTTTAAACATTTTTTATTTTAATCAAAATATGATGTCCCCCGTCGCCCTCCCCCGCCTTGTCACAAACTGTCACAATTTCACTAACCCCCTCCAAGCGTGACATCATTTATGGACGACCTCTTTCACGAAATTGATAGAGCACCCATCGATTTTGCTGCACCTGCACACAAGTCACAACCGAAAGCGAAAATGTTTCCATCCATCCACTTCCCGCGCCAATCCTCCCAACCCCCACTGGCCATCAAAGACAATCTACACAAACCCAATACCAGAAACAACCCGCCACGCTCTCCTGCTCCTCAGACACTTCCGTTGTTGACATGTTTTCTGATATTCAAAATCTTAACACCGTACAGCTAAAATCAAACACGTGGTGACGTGGCAGAGTTCCTTCAGTGCGCAAAATCGCTAGCTGCATATTTCAGTACTCCAAATTGTTACTAGGGCACTTCGGTACTCCAAATCGTTACTAGGGTACTCCGGTACAGCAAACCGTTACTCCGGTATTTCGTTACTTCGGTACTCCAAATTGTTACTTGGGTACTTGGTACTTGAAATCGGTTTTCGATACTTTTCAAAGTAACGGTTACTTGAGTAACGGGTATTTTGTACCGGGTACTTGTCTGTACCCATTACTCTCGTACCGAGTACAAGAAAGTACCGAAGTTGCCCATCACTAGTTTTTCCCCTCATAAGAGTTGTGAAGATGCTCTTTTGTACTTAAAAGACATAGTGGCCAAAGGTAAGAAGAGAAATTTACGCACAGTTTTAGTGTTTCTTGATATAAAAGGTGCTTTCGACCTGGCCTGGTGGCCGTGTAATATTTTCCGCCTTATTAAAGATTTTCTGCATTGCTCTCCCTTAGCCACGTTTCTTCCTCCCACATTTTGGTAAGAGGTTGCCCTCAAGGCTCGGTTTCTGGACCTTTATTGTGGAATTTAATTATGAATGACCTGGTCAATAGACTCTCACATTGTCAGAGTTGTAAAACAATTGTTTTTGCTGATGATCTACTAATTTGCTTTCAAGCGAAGTGTCCCATTACTCTCTTTAATATGGCTCAGAACACCCTTAATATTATTTCCAATTGGCCCAGAGAACAGAAATTGGAATTCAATCCTAATAAATCTAAAATTATGATAATTAAAAGAAAGCATGTTAGCTTTACGTTATAAGAACTGTACTTGGATAATACCTTACTCGAAACTGTGAATGAAATTAAATATTCAGGTGTTATTCTTGATCATAAGTTTTGTTGGAAAAATCATATTATGTATTTATCCAGTAAGTGTGAACAGCTTTAGAAAAGAAGATTAATTTCCGTATACTTCACAGAATTCAAAGAAGAATTTTACTAAGAGTTGTGCGTGGCTACAGAACAATTAGGTATGAAGCCTGTTTCGCAATTTCAGGATTTCCTCCGATTGACCTTCATGTTTTAAATGACAAAAAGTTTAAAGATGCCATCAGCAAATTTATGTTCGATACCAAGGTGTTGTTTGAAGATCTTCCTCATCCTGCCAATCGTTGCTAATTCAAACTATCATTTATGACAATTCTGTTGATGATAATTTTTCCTGTTGTTTGTTATACAGATGGCAGTAAAATTAATAATCGAGTTGGATTAGCTTATGTCGTTTTCCATCATGGTTCTGAACTGGAATACAAACTCTTTAGAATTCCCAATGAATGCAGTATTTTCCAAGCTGAATTACTGTGCATTAGTGAGTCAATTAAGTGGATATCTAACAACTGTTCGCTAAGTGCTAAATTTCTTATTCATACTGATTCTCTTTCATCCTTATATTCTCTTAGGAATATCTTCTCATATAATAAAATAATTGTCACTTCCCATGGTCTTCCTAAAGACCTTAATAATAAAGGTGTTGATGTTATCTTTTCTCATGTACGTGGCCACACTGGCAATCCAGGAAATGAAAAGGCTGATTGGTTGGCAAAACAAGCTACACATCTTAGAGTAATTACTCCAATGATACTTCCCAAGTCATTTTTACAAGAACAAGAGTAGGGATGATACAATACTCAAGTGGAATGAACTATACAGGAATTTTACTACTGCCTCTTTGACTAAACTATATTTTCCTTCAATTCCCCACAGACTGAATAATAAACACTTTTCTTCAATTTCGAAGTTACTCAATTTTAAAGAGATTTAGATTATCAAGTACAGACTTACGTTCATGCATTTTCGGGGAAGTGCAAAATTTCGAACATTTGTTGTTCTACTGTTCAAAGCTCAAGGAAGGACAAAAGGAACTCATTTCTAGATTAAACTCTGTGAATATTACATTTCCTGCCCCTCTTCACGTATTTGTCCAACATAAAATGGCTTTCTCATTCTTCTGTAAATTTATCTCTTGCGTGTCATCTGTGAATTTATAAGTTTATTTTATTTTGTGGTGTTGTATTTTTTTTTTTAACTTACCTTTGTAACCTTGTGTAATACTATGTGGTGCATACGAATTTAAAATTTTCACTTGGGGGTGGGGGATTGTGCCCATAGTGAACCTCATATTTTCTTTTCAAATTTCATATCTTCTGGTTCTTACCTGGTCTGAGAAGAGATTAAATTAGGTATTTCTTCATGCTTGTTGTGACTTTTGCCACTGTCTTTTTATATGGGCCAGACTATGAGAATGAAAATAAAAAATTGGTTTGAACAAAGCGAGGTCAAATTTCGTGCAGCCATATGACTTGTATTATGTTGATATGAGGTCAGGTTTTGCCAAGAAGTATGATGAATAAGAACCATCCTGGATTGGGGAAGTTATCTTAATGCAGCAGGGTTCGTAGTGGTCCTTATAAGTGCTTATAAGTCCTTATATTTGAAAATAAAATATAACGGCTCTTATAGGTGCTTACTTTTTCTTTGAAGCCCTTATTTTTTCATTTTTAGTGCTTATTTTTTTGCTTTTAGTGTTTTTATATATATATATGAATGCACTATTTTTCCCCATACCAAACGCGAAACTAAATAAACAACTATTCTTCCTAATGTGGAATCTCACATGGTAAATTATACTCCCAGAAATAGCTTTTCCCCCTTTCTCTGCATTAACATAACCTTTGGTGTGCACGAAGAGTACAGACAGGTGCCCATCGTTCTATTGGTCAAAGAATTGCGAAAGCAGTAGAAAATCCCGGTACATTCGGCATTCTTTTCCTCCCACCCAAATACTACACACGTTTGAATTTCTATCAAGATCTTAATAATTTGCATTCTTGTTCCACTTGGTCAGCTCATATTCGTGTTTATTATGATCATTTTGCTTATATTATGAGCATATCTATGAATGTTTATAATAACATAGCTGCAGTAATTGCTGAAGTATACAGTAAACTTCCAAAAATGGTTGTGTTTTAACACAGATTAGCTTTCTAAGAAATAATATTCGGAATGGCCTAAATAAAGGGATAGTATAGTTAACTTCCAAAAATGGTTGTGTTTTAACACAGATTAGCTTTCTAAGAAATAATATTCAGAATGGCTTAAATAAAGGGAAAGTAATCGAATAGTCAAAATAATTTCATTTTTTTGGCCAATACATTATACAATACGAAGATTAAGAGGTTCTCCCCTTTCTCCGCAAAATCTTGAATATTGAAACTACTATAGTTTGCTGCAAAACAAGAAACGGAATTTTTTTTTGTCACTTTTCAATCTGGATTGAATAGGACTAAAAGTTCTCCGGTCTATCAACCCAAGCGAAGAATGATTCTATTCCGGAAATTTAACGCCGTCTGTTGAACATTAGAATAAAAAACACCCCAGTTATTTAGTTCTTTATTCTCCCAATACCGGCAGCTGTTGATTCCGATTGTGAAATATCACGTAGGGAAGAATTACGGCACACATATTGGGCAATAACGTTTGCGATATTTTGCGGAGATAATAAATTTTGATGTTCTGTCCGAGATTTGTTTATGAGAGTTTTACTGTGCTTGCTAAGCAGAATATTTTTCATTTCCATTGGTTTATTTTATATGATGCACATATCGAAATGTCAAAAGCATTTATTTAGCAGAAAAATCTAAAGAGCGGCTACAGTCAACCCCCCTCTCCGCTCCTGTATTTCAAGTTACGCTCGACTGTCCGAATATTCGCCAATTTCCAAGTATGCGGGTTAGTTAATCTTTTACTGTTGAAGGATGACTGCATGAAGCAAATTTCTGTCTTCTGATTTCAGAAATGTTCCTCTTTTTTACTTAAATTACTTTGCTTGCCATATCTGTTAAGGGAAAACTGATATACAATGAAAATTTAGAAAATGTTCAGAATTTAGATTTAATTTATTTAAGTATGAATATGAGTGGAAAAATAAATTGTATTTATAATTAGGTTCCAAGCGAATACAATAAATATGCCTTATTATTATTTATTTTCTCTATTTTGAAGTGAAATTTCATCATTAAATCTTGTAATATAGTTTAGTTCTGCATAGTTTTTTTTTTTCTCTCATTGTAGACTTCCGTTGTTGAGGTAATGCTTATTCTCTCTTAATAAATACTGCATTTCTCATATTTTAAATTACAAGTCTAACTTTTGAGGTTATGCAGTTGTGTATAATGTAATTAGACAAGTGCTTATTTTTTTAAATAAAATGGGGCTATGAACCCTGTGCAATTATGCATGGTAAAGATCGAAGGAGAGAGCAGACAGGTAAATTAATTTCATGCTTACCAAAGACAGCAGCTAAAGTTTTTAGTATCAATTAAAATTTTGTACCAAAGAAAATGTAGGTACTAAATTTGTAAAATAATGAAAGCATCGGAACAATATTTAAAAAACTAATATGTACCTTACCAGTATTAAATTTTTTAATGTAGTTAATATTTTATTTTAAGATCAAGAATTGATGAAGGTAAAAGAAGAATATCGAAAATTGCGGGATACATTAGATGAAGGTACATGTCTCAATAATGTGCCATGTGTAGAACCACCAAAGCAAAGTGAAGAGTATGTTCTCATTCATTTATCTTCCTCTTAGCATTATAATGTCTTATTTCATTTATTGTTAATTTTCTATTTTCTTTTGGATATCAGATACTAATTTATCTACAAATTTGAAATTGTGTATATGGAATTCCTTTTTAAATCTGTGCCATACCCACAAATCAAAACAAATTATGGAAAATGGAAATTGACCTCTTAGAGAACTCTCATTGTATTCCATAGTAGATGTATGGTCATTCTCTAAGACCTACTAGTTCACTAGGCGTTCATAACACATCTATTCAAATTACAGGCGGATGCTGACTAAGGAATCAATAGATTATAGAATAATTGAAAAAATCCTCAAAAATCAAAAAGAGAAGAAGGAGGTAGGGGAGAAGAAAAGAAAGGTTTCTGATTTAAAATATGTCCAAAGCGGCTTTTTTTGTGTGTGTAACCTTTATTTATTAAATATCATGTTTTACGGACTCAAACTATAAAATTCAGTTCAAGAGCAATATCGCAAAATAATTTTAAAATGAGCATATCTTAAGAATTTCCGATACAGTCTCGTGCGCTGGAAATAAAAATGTTTTTTCCTACAGTGTTGCGATTCCTTGCTTTGAAATCATTTATTTTAATCAAAAATACATTGAAGCGTTACAAAATATGAAATCTATAATAAAAAAATTTCAAATTCAAATTAGGGCTTCCACATGCCCATATTCTATGTAAGATTACGTTATTCAAATTTTGATGGCTCTAAGTACTGTTTTATCACAATGCGAGAAACATACATACATTTATGCAGATTCTTTAAGTATAATACAGGGCGATAATATATGGTGGCAACGATTTGAAAAGTGATAGTCTTTTAAAGTTTTTTTCCATCCAAAATGCCAAAACGAAATCAATAGCCCTTTGGACTAAGAATTAATCGTACTGTTAATTAATGATAGCAGATGAACAGTTTCTGAAAGATATGAAGAATTAAAGCTGAAACAAGATAGAATCTAGAACAGTTTAACAGGAAAATTTTTTTTGTAGTGTTTAATATTTCCTGGCTATTATTTTTTGTCAAAAACTGAAAACTTTCCTCTTGCATCAGACACTTAAGATCCTCAAATGTTATAGCACCCTCACAGTATTAAGTATCTGTTTCTTAATCCTATTCTTTGCATTTTCTAGCAATGATTTCTGTTAATTTTTATCAACAGTACCAAGAGTTCGTAGCGGTCCTTACAAGTGCTTTATAAGTCCTTATATTTGAAAATAAAATATAAATAGGTGCTTACTTTTTCTTTAAAGCCTTATTTTTCTTTGTTTTTAGTGCTTATTTTTTGGTTTTAGTGCTTTTTTTAATCTTTTTTTTAATGAACGCGCATTTTGTCCCCATACCAAAGCCGAAACTAAATAAACAACTTTTATTCCTTATATGCAACGTCAGATGGTGAATCATACTCCCGGAAATTGCTTTCCGCCGTTCTCTGCATTGATATAACCTATGGTGCGCACAAGAGTACAAACAGGTGCACGTCGTTCTACTGGTGAAAAGAATTGCAAAAATGATAGAAAATTCCGGTACATTCGATATTCTTTCCAAATTCCAGTTCGGTCCTCCCACCCAAATACTACATATGTTTGAATTTCTATCAAGATTTTAATAATTTGCATTCTCGTTCTGCTTGATCAGTTTATATTCGTGTTTATTATGATCGTTATGCTTATATTATGAGTATATGCATGAATATTTATAATAATATAGTTGCAGTAACTGGTGAAGTATAAACTTCCAAAATAGGGTGTGTTTTTACACAGATTTCTAGGAATAATATTCAGAATTTCTTAAATAAAAGGAAAGTAATTGAATAGTCAAAATAATTTAATTTTTTTTTTTTTCTGCCAATACATTATACAGTACGGAGGTTGGGTGGTTCTCCCCTTTCTCCGCAAAATCTCTAATATTGAAGCAGCGGACTTTTTTTTTGTCACTGTCCAATTTGGATTGAATAGGACTAAAAGGTTTTGCGGTCTACCTAACCCAAGCGAAGATTCCGCAAAATCTCTAATATTGAAGCAGTGGACTTTTTTTTGTCACTGTCCAATCTGGATTGAATAGAACAAAAAGTTTTTGCGGTATACCCAACCTAAGCCCAACCATGTAGCCGGAATAGATTGATTCTATTCCGGAAATTTAACGCAGTCGGTTGAAAATTAGAATCAGAAACACCCCAGGTTAGGAAGTCTCTTCCTTTTCCTTTATTTAGTTCTTTATTCTTCGAATACTGGCAGCTGTTGATTCCGATTGCATAATATCACATGTGGAAGAATTACGCTGCACGTAATGCGCAATAACGTTTGCGGTATTTTGCAGAGATAATTAATTTTGATGTTCAGTCTGAGATTTGTTTATGAACACTTAAAAAGAAGTTTACTGTGCTTTCTAAGCAGAATATTTCTCAGTTCTGTTGGTTTATTTTTATATGATGCACATATCGAAATATCAAAATCATTTATTTAGCCGAGAAATCTAAAGAACGGCTACAATCTCCCCCACTCCTCTTTTTCCAGTTACTTTACTACTACCTGGAATATTCGTCAATTTCCGTAAAGGATGACTGCATGAAACAATTTCTCACCTTCTGATTTCAGAAATGTACACTGCTTAAAAAGATAGTCCTATATCTCCCGATCTACTGGGCCGATTGACAAAATTCAAATTGCGTTCTTCATGTCTCGAAAGCGCGACTTAGGATATATATATTAGATTTATATACAGCACTATTCTAACATAGGTATTTTGACACAAAATCAGACTTTTTCTGAAATAACATACCAATTTTTTTCCATATTTCGATTCTACGGCTCAAATTATGCCAGAATACCAAGTTTTGTAAAATCACACGTACGAGTAGTTTTTAAAATAATTAGCTCTCAAAATTTCAGCTCCTCAATGTTAATTGAATTTGGCAAATATTATTAATATCTCTTTTTTTATTAAATTTTTTGATTTTTTCTCTCACATTTCGAAATTTGGGTTCATTCCAAATAAATTTACCCATTTTTTGTGTTTTATTTTTTTAAATTTCTATTTTTAAATAATTTTTATAAATTTTTCGAAAAAAATTTTGATTTATAACATATAAAATTTTACCATCATCTTAAAGTAGGTGTATTTTCAAGCATATCTGCAAAAAATTAGACTTTTTTTATTCAAAATTTTCTAAGATATACACGAATTTACATATTTTAGCGTTTGAAATTTGGCATCTTTTTTTTTGAGCGATAATAACACCAAATGTGGTCTATGGACTTTTGTTACAGTGAATTGCCACAGCCATTTTTAACCGTAAATTTCAAGTAAAATTTTACAGAGAATTAATTATATTACATTTTTTCCCTCAATGAAGCCGTAATAAATATTTATTAATACTATATGAAAAGCTATTTTTTTAAATTATAGATGATATTATTCAAATTTTTAACTATTTTTTTAAAATTTTTCTCTATTCTTCCTTTTTTTAAAAAAAATAACAATAAATTTTTGTAAGAGTAAATTTTTACCTTCGTTTTATCGTCTGCTACTTTACTTCGTTTAAATCGAATTGTCTAAAACTGAGAATTTTCGTTTGATGTTTATTTGACATTTATGACATTATCTGCATAATTTATTTCTAAATAAACTTGCTTTTGAAGTGGCTGAAAGAGTGGCTGATACTATCATCCATATTTTTAAAGCACAATATATTTTTATAGAAACATAATATTTAGAATAATCATTTTTAATAAAAGTCAAATTATGATATAAACATACAACCCTCTAGAGACTGAATTAATGGAAGTTCAATAGTTATGTAGAAATGATCTGCAGCTACTTAATGGCTGGATAAGTCAGCAGATTCTGTGGACAAGCAAGAATAATTATATAAACGACACCCAACATTCTGTATTTTTGTATTTAATGTCAATTTAATCTGTAAAAATGTATTTTTGTGCGTAGATTATTTTCATTATATCCTTAAAATTCTAATTTAGAATGTAATTGTCAAGAACAGAATCCTAATCATCAGTAATATAATAAGTAATTATTATGGTAATTAATAAATCCTTCTTATAAAGTAATTGCAAATATTTCAAAAAACTTTGTCTGAATGCAAATATTTTTCTATGCAAAATTTTTAATTTATAATAATCAAGATTGCACACAATATTATTTATTTGCACTTCAATTTTTACCGTCAGCTCTAGTAGAAGTTACAAATCAATTATATTTAATTAAGGATTGGATTGGATTATTTAATTATGGCAAAGCACACGAGGGCTATCTGCCTAAAGGGAGGGATGCCTTCGTGGAGGACTTTCTAAGGGAAACTGGCTCGTATACACGTTACACATGGGGAAAACCACTAAAACGCCCATGTAGCCAGCCTGTTCGCGGGATTCGAACTTCCGACCGAACTACCAGTGCTCAGCGTCTTTACCGCTCGGCCGCTGGTGGGCTATTTAATTAAGGAAGACCATCTAAATTTAGAAACAGCGTACCGTAACAGCAATTCAATTATTGGCGCCGTATCTTTCATGTTACTCCCGATTGGCAAGCTACATGATTTTTAATGAGTATTCGGGTTTGCTAGTAACTTCATTTGGAAATCGCGCTTAAACTAGGTTAGTTGGTTATTTGAACATAGAAAGAATATGGGAGCTATTTGGTTAAGATGCTTTCCTAGAGAACCTTTGTAAAGAGAACCTAGAAAACTACGAAAACCAACCATGCAAAACCCTGGGTTAGACTTCGCAACAAACAATTAGTATTTAACAATCTTCAAATGCTAGGCAACTGGTGAGGCTCCAATTAAATCTCCAATTTAATATTTTATTTGTAAATATTTAAAATATTGTTGTATACTTAGACACAAAAAGCAGAACTACCAAGCCGTAGTGCAAATGAATATTCATTTTCTTTTGCAATAATTGTATTCACTTAATATTCTTGGAATATGAGCTAAAAAAGGAACGTTCTCGGA